CTCGTGAGGAGATTTGCTGTGCCCTGCCATGTGCTGAACCCGCTAGGTGAGGGACGGGACGCTGTATGTAAGGAGGCTGAGGCTGGCTTCCCAAGAGGGTGCTGGTTTGCTTTGTTGTTGTTTTGTTTTAGATAGTGAAATGCAATGCCTTTTATTCCTAACAAACTCAAAAAAAAAAACAAAACAACAAAAAAAACACAGAAGTTTACTCCACGGTGAGCAGATAACTAAGTTCCTACTCCTTGTTTGTGTGGGGTCTTGCAAATAATGTCCTAAGTACTTTTGTGTTTTTGCTGTAAAGTGACACTTGTCTTTGAAGGAATAAAAACAAAACAAAGTCAAATAGAGAATAACTCAGAGCAAACAGTAGGAAACATTTCCTAACAATAAGGGCTTCCACGCAAAACCAGCCACGAGTGCAGAGGCTGCACCATGGCTGCGTCAGGGCAAGCTGCTCTGCGGCGCTGAACCTGGGGGAGGAGGGAGAGCTCCCAGCCACGTACAGAACTGCTCCACGCCAGTGACCAGGGCTGGATTTAATACGATTGGACCTGATATGTGATACCGACCGAGCTAAAAAGCTGTTGTCAGACGTGTGTGTAGCTAAGGGCAGAGGTTTGACGCTGGGTTTGGCTCTGGAGCTGAGGGCCAGCAGAAGGGAGCTCCTCACGGTGCTCCCCCTGGCTGGATGGGGCTATGGGCACAGGGGACAAGCCTGCTGGCCAGGGACTTCGCCTCACTACCTGAAAACACATCCTGCCATGTAGAAGCCCCTGCCCGAATGGCCAGGAAATGGGCTTGACAGATGAGACAGGCGCGGGGATAATGGCTCGTGTGACGGATGGGGCGGTGGCAAGGCGCTGCGGGGTGAGCTACAGGCTCCATTAGGCTGAAACTGGAGCGCTGGAGGGGATGCCTGTTCCTGACTGAGGGCTGGGGCTTCCTGGGTAAGAGCGAGCTGCCGTACAGCACAGCTTTCAGAGCGCAGGAAAAAAACAAACCCGAGCTTTGCATTGGACAAATAGGTCAGGGAAAAGATCTGGGTGGGAATGTGCATGTTGCCTGATACGATGTCCCAAATGGCCTTAAACAGACCATAGAATTTCTATGTCTAAACCAGATTCCAGCGAAGGAGACCTTTTATGATGCACTAATAGGCTCATTAGGCTTTCTTGAGCTAGGCACGCTCACAACATCGTATGTTTTTTCCATTACAGGAATTACACGTGTTTTGTTGTGCTTTGGGTTTTGTTTTGTTTTCCACATAGACTTGCCCTGACAGTTCCCCATTCAGGTTTATATTGGAGGTACCATCTCGAGCCAATGAATTTTATGAAATATGTTGCTGGCACTCACGGAGAGATGCATAAAGGAAATATTCTAATGACAGTTGGAAAGGCTTTGATCCCTTTCCAAGACTGCACTCATGTCTTTGAAATGCGAGTTTGGCAGTGCTGGAAAGGCTGGGCTCTTTGGCTCTCTTTGGCACCAGCCCATGTGACAGACATTATGTCCTCTGTCAGGGGACCCACATAACCTTGAGAAGTGTAAGCAATGCTCGCAGATTGCGTTGGGTCAGATAGCCTGGGCTGATAACAAAGCAGCCGCAGCAGCAGGGGGGAGTCAGCCCAGTCCAACGCAATAACCGAAAACTATTTTGACCTGGTAACTGTTGGGTCTGCTGCCTGCGGCTACGGAGTTGGACATGAACTGCAAAAGTAGTTAATTTATGCCTCCTTGAGTGTAGGAATGTGGTGATGATGGATAGGGATGGGAGGTTATTAGAAACATGGGGAGGAAGGAGAGGATGGAATTCCAGCTCATGTTTTTATCTCTTACACACACACGTTCCTTTGCATACATACTCTTGGCTGGCTCGCATGTGTGCACAGCCCAAACCCTTGCTTACACTCACACCTCCGTTCATGCACGCACATGTTCACATGCTTACAAGGGATTTGCCTGAGCTAAATGCTTTAGCATGTTTATGTGTTGGGGGTTGCAGAGTGCTGTTACAAAGGGGGTTGCATTTACTTTCTTCCAAGCATGGCCTGTTTACACCTACTCCTGTGCAGAGCCCTCGCTAAGAAAACCCTCTTAGCCTTCTGCCCTTACACCATCTGAACATATTCTGCTCCTTCGCAGACTTCTGCCTTCTAGCAGAGAAGTAGTGGTCAGAGAAATACCGTAAAGCTAAGTCCAAGTGACATATTACAGTGGCTTTACATAAGACATGAATCCAGCCTGGGTGATGCACTGACATCACCGGCCAATTAGTTAAATGCTGTCTGCAGTAATAACCCGTATACAGAACAGCCCTAGAGCTGGAGCACACAGCCTGCATGTAGCTGACTGAGAGAGCGATTGTGGCCGTGCGTCGAGGATTTAAGTGGAGATTGGATTGTTTAAAAATAAGCAAAACGACAGCTGAGAATAAAGAAATATCAATTTAAATAATTTGAAACCATAAGAGAAGAGTGAGGATAAAACTGGTAATCTCAGGAGGGGAGTGTGATTGTAGTTACTGCTACAGGGATTTGCATAGGCAATAAAGCATCTGTATCCAGAGTCAACAACTGCAGCCTCAAATACATACGGCGAGCCCTTCCTTCCCACAGTGATACAAAACACAAACATTTTTCTACTCAGGGGCATGCAATGCTTCTGCTTCTGTGCTTTCCTCTCTTGCACAAAGTATCACATTGCTCTCACGTTCTCTTACACTTTTGCTCTCTCTCCCCGATGCTGACATGTGTGCAAACATGCACATTGTCCCTGCACATGCACACGTCTTCCGTCACACTTCCCCCCCGATACGCTTACACTTTCATTTGGAAATGCTCATTAGCTCTCGTGTAATTTCAAACTGTTGCTCATGGACACACTTAACTATGAGCCCATGTTTGGAAAAGATGTTTTCAAAGGCACAAAGAAGATCCTGGAAATAGATTAAGCACGGCCACAGATCATTGTACAGATACTTGCAGAACAAGCTGGAGGGAAAGATCTGTGTATTTTAAGAAGATGTGTTGGGAACAGTGGAGAGATGAGAAATCTGTAAAAGGTCACAGAGCTGACCTGTCCTTCAGGATGTCATCCGCATTGATTGGAAGATAAACACTGTATGGAATGGAAACATACCCTTCCATTGGTGTCCCCAAAGAGTACGTCTTCCTCCATGAGTCAGCGAGGGCCTGGGGACACCCAACCATGAACTATTTTGGAGGCAATGACTTCAGCAAGTGGCAGGGGAAGCTATTGTGGAAATATGAATGTGTTTTCCATTGGGGAGTCCTCCAGGGAAGGACAGAAAGATCTTGGTGCCGATCCAACTCCCCTGTTTTTTTTTCACCCTTCTGGGAACGAAAGCCTTGCAAAGTATGCGAGGAACCTTACTGAAGGCGAGTGCATTTGGTTTGTACAAGCTCCATGAATCTGTACCCATGCACAGATGGAAAGGGGGACTTAAGGAAGAAGGAACAAACCGCTCAAAACCGTAACAGTGTCCTTCCCTAACAAGCTGGTCAACCATGCATGACACAGTGTGGTCTTTCTTTCCATTATCTCCACCTGTCAAGTGAAGACAGCACAATTCATCCATGTTTTAGGTCTCACTACAGCACCTAGTATCAAGAGGCAATGTGAGCTGGAGACAGAGAACTTAGAGGTTTACTCTTATGGCTTTCTGCAGCTCTGCTCTGAGTTAGGTCCTCGCAGTGCCACTGAAGCCAGCGCAGCACCAGGGCATGCGCTTCGGCGAGTTGCTCTTCCTGTAGGCATTGACAATGTCTACTTCTTTCGCGGAGTGCCAAAAGTAACTCTAGTAGCCGTCTAGTGGCTTAAGAGACTGGCTTTGCTTGCCCACAAGCAGATTGTAACCTCCTGATGTCCCAAAAGCTAAGAAACTGTGCTTATCTTGGGGCACCTAAGGAGCCTTTGGAATGTCATGGTAGGGGACCAGCCACTCCATGGGAAATCTCTTGCAAAGCACGCTAGGTCTGTCCCCCAAGGCAGAAGGGAGACACATTATTAGGAAGAGAGGCTGATCCTGAAGCAGTGCTACGATTCAGAGTATTTCTCCCAGGGCTTTTTTTTTTTTTTTTTTGGGGGGGGGGGGGCAGCAGAAGAAAGAGACCCCCCCTCTGTTGGTCAGCTCTCCTCCTGGTCTGAGGCCAGAAGCTGATGAACGTACCAGTGTGTCTTTGAACACAGGCATGACCCACTTGTTCTGCCTTAAGGGATTTCTAATGAGACTAATTTTTATCTGTATTTTTCCACATTTTTAACACTGTGTAATTTGGAATTTGGGATGGAAGCATGTTGCCTGCCTGTAATATTTTTGCCTGTTTTTAGGTTTGGTTGGTTTACGTTATTTGCAAGACTCAAATACAGCAGATCTAACCTTGTGTTGCTTATTCCCTTCTCCTTGTTACAACTTTGTTTGCTGGAAATAGCAAACTAATTAAAATAGCAATTCCCTAAGAAGCATCCTGTGTCAGGGTTAGACCTGGTGCATCTCAGCACAAATAATGCTGCTGGTGCCAAAGGAGTAGTGTCACGAGCTGGTGCCAGACTAAAGACCTGAAGCTTGTTATTGTGGAGGAGAATTATAGGTAAAAACACAGAACAGCTTAGAGAAAATGCACAAGGTAACTGCTGATATAAAAAGATTTACTGACCATAATACGTGGTTAATTACACTCATGATAAATAGATTCCTATACTTATCTTAGGAATATGGACAGCTTTATGTATTTACCTTGGATTTTGTGGCTGTGGTTAAGCAATGGCTGGAAGTCCTCAGATGAGATTCACCATATGAATGCAAAGTAATTGAAGTTTGGGAGTGGGTTATTAAAATATTTTGGGTGACTGATACACAGGATATTATAAGATCTTTGCCTGGATTGCAGCACTTCTTCAATACTTTGTTGCTTTTTGTGCTACCTTTAGAAAAAAATTGATTATATATATATATATATTTTTTTTTTTTTTTACAGAGCATACTTAGATGTCAATGAACTGAAGAACATACTCAAGCTGGATGGATCCACACACCTCAACATCTTCTTTGCCAACTCCTCCGAGGAAGAGCTGGCTGGAGTGGCAACTTGGCCCTGGGACAAGGAAGCCTTGATGCATCTAGGTGAGTGATAAAGATGTTTCTTCTTTGTAAAGCATTCTTTTGAGGCGCTAAGAAGGAAAGACAAATATGCGCTAAGCTCTGTTCTGATTTCTTATCATTCCTCTAATATATAGTCAGGGGAAAAAAAGTATTTCACGATTCCCAGATACTGGCTCACAACCAGGAAAATATTAGGTTATAAACCCAAAGCATATTATGGTATTTGTAGATGATGTCAAGCTGAAAGTATTTCACCTTTTAAGTGAAGCTACTTTACAGGGCATTCACTCCATGAGAGCACTTTGCAAAGAAGACTTGGGGGGATAGGTGAGGGGACGCAGACAAAGGTGAATTTTTAACCTTAACCTGTTGTGTTATGATCCTTAGTTCATCACTTAGTAAGTGTCCAATTAATTTTCTTTTCAGATTACAGTTAACATTTGTTACTATTTTTTTCCACCAATGTGCAAAAGAGCAAACTGCTGAGAGATTGTATTTCTAACGTGCTTGAGTAGAACTGGGAAGAGTTTGCTACCCTGCAGATTGGCCTACATGCTTCATACGTAGTTTGCTGGCCATGGCTGTTGGAACCCAGGAGTCCAGACAAAGCTATGCAACCTAACAAATGACCCGTGGCCTTAACACCTCCAGTGGTTCTGGATCTGTCTTCCTTGCAAAATGTCATGCAAACCTCAAAAGGTTCAGAAGGCACCGTCTGAGTCTGTGTGTACTTATCTGAACTGCACCAACCTCCCTCAGGCTGCAAACCTGATCTGGTCATCTTTACAAGAGCAAGGATTCTTACAAGTTTTCCAGATGATTCTCCACCCTGTCTAGACCTTCCTAGGCTGGGGATGAAGTCCAGCCTCAGCCATGTTCAGTCTTTGTGAAAGGCTGAGCCACTTTTTTCCTTATCCAAGCCCACACTGAGCAAAACAAAAAAAGATGTGGCAAATATAAAGCCCAGAAGAGGACAGCAAATATGGTGTTTATTATTCTAAAGCATACTAAACATACATTCTAAAGCTATGAAGGCTGAACTACAACTTTTCTGTATTCAGAAATACATTACCCCAAACCCCGACGTTAACACCTCTTTATAGTCACCTATCTCTGTAGCCAAGAGGCTCCATGGTCAGACCAAGCAGTTGGAGCTGGCTGCCCTACTTCTGTTAGTCAGCATTTTATTATGAAATCCAGCTCTGCAGCTGCTCTGGAAGAAGTGTGAGCAAACTTCCCTTCCCAGGAGCCGGCACTGACACACATCCAGACAAAATCTCCTGCTGAGCAGGACTGGAAGTGAAGCCACTTCCACTCTGCCTTGCCTCCAGCCCCATCTCTACGGGCTCCTGCTGGGAGCACCCGAAACAGAAGGAGCTGTGAATGCCCACTGATGAGCTTTCTCCATGGCAACATCTTTTGGCGAAAACAAAGAAATATATTAACCCCAGTGTCAACCAACCCCCATGCCTCTGTGATTTCTCTCTGTAGTACCGCAACCCTCTACTCCTGTCCCAGCCCCACAGCAGCTCTGGTTGCTGTTGGGAAACACCATCCCTGCTGTTCCTACTGGAGTGAAATAAGGCAGGAATAGATCTGATTCACCCCTAAATGAGTATTTTCATAGCTTCCCTTGGTATCGCCATGGGAGGGAGCAGAGAACAAGGGAGGAACTCCAGAGCACCAAGAAGAACCTTCTGCAAGAGGGCTGGGGCTTGCCCAAAGCCCTGATGAGTTCTTCTGTCACTTCGTTAAGCTAATTGTCAACATCATGCCTGAGCAAAACAATTTAAATTCAGCTCCTACAGTGTATTGACAGAATTCATTGACCAAAGAGAGAAAAAAAAGACGTTAGCCAACAGTTTGAAGTTGACTTGCAGTGGAAAAAAAGTAAAAATAAATAAATAATGGCCATAATTTCCTGTCATAATAGCCCTCCCAGACCTGTGCTTGGTCTGTAAGAATTCATCTTTAATCTTTTTTACTCTCTTCTATAAATCCAATATGTACTTAATAAAAAATATGAAATATGTCCTGTGGTGCAGATCTAAAGGCTGGGATAGAGATTGTCTGGGTGAGGGAGTTTATCTTTTCTGTAAAACTGCAATTGATTTAGATTCTTGACAGCTGTGAAAAATATAAATTTTCAACAAAGGCAAAAATAAAATCTCCCTCTCCAGCTGCCTCAGGGCTGTCCAATGCCAGAACTGTTTAGCCAGCCTTTATTATGAAGGCACATCCTGCTGGGGAATTTCACCAGTACTCCCAACATTTAAAAACAAACTCTGGAAGGGTCTTGGGGAGTGAGACCCCCACAGCACAATGCACCAAGGTGCTCTCTGGGTGTGAGTGGCTCCAGCTGGGTAGAGCCCAAGCTGTGGAGGAATCAGAGTGTGTATCAGATCAAGGGGAGATAAGGACATTGGGAGCATGGGGAGCTCAGTAGCTGCACACTTGGAGGTCTGTATACAGCTGATGAGGCTTGTGGAGAACCAGTGTGAGAGGCAGCTCAGTGTTGTGAAAAGGACACGCATGCTCTGAATGTGGCACAGTAGGCATGATGTTGCAGTGTGAGTAATGTTGTTCACTCTTTTGTGTCTATCTAAATTTGCTGTTCAACTCTTTACACTAACCGTATATTTATGCATGCACCTGTGACTCCACTGCGTGCATGTGTTCACATGTGCCCAGGTGCAAAGGGGAAATCTTTTCTCTCTTGCTGTCTGTGCCTGTGTCCTTGCAAGACATACAAAGTGGTCCTTCCTCTCCCTTCAGCATTGGTAATATTAAAGCTGGAGCACTGGGTCATGTTTGGACACCATACTTGAAGGAAACATGAGACAACTGGGAAAAGCAAAGGAGAACAGACAGGGAGGTCAAGAAGAACTGAGCTACAAGGAAAAGTTGACTGGATTAGGGCTATTTGGCCTCAAGGAAAAAAGCCTGGAGTGAGGAAGGTGATGATCTCACAAAAGCTGGTGAAAGGGGAGGAGAATGGTCTGCTCTCTGTATTGGTGTGAAGCGGAACTCAAAGTCATGAACTTAAATTGCCAAAAAAATCAATTCAGATTAGATGTGAGTTAAGTCCTTGCAGCTGTAAGGATAACGAGTGCTGAAATTGATTGCTGGGGCAGTCATATCATCAGAGGTTATAAAGAGACATTTAGGCCAATATATGTGAGGGATGGCATAGACCTCATTGGTCCAGTGTTGTTTTGAGAGCTGGATTAGGTGGTTTCTTGAGTCTTCTCAGTTTTATTTTCCTGTAATTCCATGGTTATTGCAACAAAAGACTCCAGGCAGATGAGAATGAAGAATCTATGGTGCATCAGAAGCTGGTGATCTCATCTTCCCTGTGCTATAGACACTGATAAAGTTCCTCCTGCCAAAGCCTTTTCTCTCCTCATTGTCACTAAATTATTAGTGTACCATACCCAAGATTTATTTTCCTGCTATTAGTTTTACAAAGCAGTCTCCTGTTCTCATGGTAGCTAATATATACAAATAGTTTTAAATAAAAGGCTTGGAAAAGTTGAGGTCAATAAGCTAAATAAAGAAAATATGAAGCATATAATAAATCCAAAGGTACATCTAACAGAGCTAAAAATATAATGCTTATGATTAATTCAATATACTATAAATCCTCACAAATTTACTATTTGCTTATCTACACATCCCATAATTCACACAACAAAAAAAAAAATCACCATTGGCTTTCTTTGCACATATTTAACAACCATGCGTTTTTTATTTTTTTTTTTCAGAATTATCACATTCCAGGATTTCTTTTTTTTGACACATTAGACTTATGCATATTCATTAGCGGACTGTGCAGTTCAGATCAAACTAGGCTTGCCTGAGTATACGAGCAGAGTGTATTTCTGACAGATACTTCAAAGCTGTCTACAGGATCAGAGCACACCCCACAGATATCTCCCCCTTCCCAGCATTGGGTGTTTTCCATTTTCTTTGTCCAGGTATTAGTTTGCAAATATTGGTGCAACTTAGTGCAATTTTAGGGTGTTTCAGAAGTTAGTGGGTTTGTATTTTACATTTACCCTGCGTAATAACATACTGAGAGTGCTCCAGGTACAGTCTGTTTGATGCTTGATTCAAATGCGTTGCATGGTTTGAAATGCACCAAAACCACGGTGAATATTGGTCTTTCCACTGGTTATGCTCAATTTTGTGTGTAGGTTTTTAACTCAAAAAATCATATGTACAATTATTTCATACTGTGCATTTTCAGATCATTTAGTGTGCTGAAGTGGAATGATTCTGCCCAGACCAATATTCACCGTGGTTTTGGTTTAGGACTTTGGTCTTTGTCCCATGATTCCTCATCCTTGGGGTCCCAGATTAAGGATGAGATCAGACCTTGCTGTGCAGTTCCTCTGAGCAGGCAATGCGCTTGATTGTGCAAAGACATCCTATAGAGGATCCCATGAGCTGCTGGTGAATCTTCCTCTTGCTGTTCTGAGGAAGTCAAGACAAATGTAGAAGCTCTTTTCTTTTCCCCTTGCAGGTGGCATCGTGCTGAATCCTTCCTTCTATGGGATTCCTGGCCACACTCACACGATGATCCATGAAATCGGGCACAGCCTGGGGCTCTACCATGTCTTCCGGGGCATCTCAGAGATCCTCTCCTGCAGCGATCCATGCATGGAAACGGAGCCCTCCTTCGAGACTGGAGACCTCTGCAGTGACACCAACCCCGCTCCTAAGCACAAGCTGTGCGGGGATCCGGGACCTGGCAACGATACGTGTGGTTTTCACAGCTTCCTAAACACGCCCTTCAGTAACTTCATGAGCTATGCAGGTACGTGGGCTTCCTCAGTTTGCTGCTGGTGTCTGTGGTTGGGTGGGAACTGAGAACAGCAATATCAGCTCTGATTTCTGCGGTGCATTTCGTATAGGATTTTTTGCTGACATGTGTGTCCATTGGTATAGGACCAGTCTTGATGGGGACCAAATGTGATGGCCTCAGGAAATCCTTCCAGTTCTGTTGTTTTTCTTCTCTGAGTTTTCTCCAACTTTACATAGTTTCATGTGATTATCAGGTAGAAGGCTTGGGGGAGGACAGAAATGAGGCAAGCATTAAAAAAGAGCTCTTGAAGGCTTTACAGCAAATTTGACACCCTATTTTCCTGGAACCTTGACGCCTGATCTGAATCTTTGCACAACTCAAATTCAGAGGTTGTTTATCCTCTCCTCAGGAGACAGTACGTGTCAGATGAATATTGATACCACCAAGACTGTGGGAATGACATCTAATGAGACGCTGCTCGTGCCTCTGTGCATTCTGTCCGTTCAAATACCATGTTTGTTGTTTGATTCAGATTCACTGCAGTTGAGCTGCCACCACTCACACCTGAGTTTCCTCATCAAGGTGTGAATACTGGGACAGCACCTGGATCGGGATTGCTCTGCTGGTCAAAGCCTACCAGCATGGTGTGCTGATTTGTTCTAGAAGTGCAAACAGCTCTGTGCCAGTGTGGTAAAACCAACGCTTAAAGGGGAAAAAGCTTTTTAAGCAACCCCCTGATTTTGTAGCTACAGTTTTGCAGGCTTCTGTTGGCACAGCTCTGTTGCTTGGGGACGCTGGTTTGTAGCACTTACAGGATCACAGAATCACAGAATATCCTGAGTTAGAAGGGACCACTTCTACCATGAGAACATAATACAAAGAGGGCATGAGCTCCTGTGACCCCTGCCCATCAGACAAGGGCAGGGTGGGCTCCTTGCTCCTCCCCAGGAAGTTCAGGGGGAGCTGAAGGATCCCCTGTTATTTCTCAGAAGGAACAGGGAATACCTGGGCTTGTGTTTTTTATCTCAGGTCGCAGGGTCTAGCTGTGCTGAAGGTCTGTGACACTGAGCTGACAGCATTCACAGCATTTTAACGGGGACCAATACAATCATAGCCACTGAAGGGCACCTTAATACTACAGGCAGAAACACAGATTGCCCACTCAAAAGGTCACAAGAGTGCTTATTCTGTAATAAAACTGTGGGGAAGCAAAATGTTTAATGTCATCTGAGGCACAGATTGAAATGATTTATAACATAAATGCTTTCATGCCCTTCATGGCACTAGCTAAACGTGATGTTTAGTTTTCTTTTTATTTTTCTGTTCGTTTAGAAGGTGTTTTCAGGGGGAAGCATGCAAGCACTGAGTCAGCTCCTAAATGTGTTATGCACTTCTGTGCATGTGGCAGGGCAGAAAGTCTCATGCCTGCTAACAGTCTGCTGGTCATTTCACACAAATAACTCGGTGCCACTTGAGATTTACAATATCCCTCCACCAAGTCTGCCTGTGTGTATGTGAAAAGGGGTGGTGCGTGCATGTCTCAGAACCCTGAGGTCTCGTCTTGCAAAGAGAAGTTGCCTTGCCAATTGTCTCGAGAGTTGAGATGGAGAGGCAGAGCACAGAGATGCATATCTGCTATTGGGAGCTAAGTATGTGCTGGTGTGCTGAGCAGAAACCTTTTTTTTTTCTTGAAAAATTAAGTGAAGCGACATGATAGGTATCTCTAGAGCTCATGCATGAATCTGTTTGCTTTTCTGTTGTTGCCAGTGGAATAAAAATCATATCAGGATATCAAATCGCTGTAGAAATACCTTTGAAACATCTAGGTTGAGGTCATGCAGCTCTAAACATCGCCTTTCTTGCCTTCCTCTTTTGCTGCTCGTATACAACTTGATCCCATTGTTCCTGCCTATCCAACATCCATCTGTCCAGTCACCCCCAACTTTGTAGCAAAGCACCAACTTAAAGGGTAACTTCTCTTTCCCGAAAATAGCAAGTGAGAATATCTAGGAGATCAAGAAGTGTGAGAAAAGCTTTTTATTATTTTTACAAGTCCACCTAGCTGTGGTGTTCCCAAATAAAAGGAAGGCTAGTCTTTTAGACCACTCTGTATGAAAACAGCAGGAATTCTGCTTCTGAATTCTGGTGGAATAATCGTCCCAGCAAAGTGTGTTGAATTTCTCTAATTATAATTTCATTTGAGGATCTCGAACCTTTCTTGAAATCGAGTGGTAAGTGAAACATCTCTCCCCCTCACCCCCTCCTGCCCCCAGCCTGTGCCGATGTTTAAGCAGATTGAGAATGCAGGCCATCTTTCTCCCGTGCCATTGTCTCACTGCTTTGTCCTATATATATTTTATTGTTCCTTTATGATGGCTATTAAGGGCCTTTGTCTCCTTCTGGGCTTCCGTGAAGAATATTTATGGCTTTTACAGCATGCTTAGGGATAGGCCATTGACAATTATTGAGGAAATCCAGAGATGTCATATTAAAGCGGCTTTTTGCAAAACCACGGCGTTTTGTGGATACTTTCGTGCTGGTGGTGCTGTGCATGTTTGATGAGGGGAGGTTCACCTCTCGGTGAAATTAGGTGAGAGACAGGGGAGCCTATAAGCTGGGGTGTCCTTACGCCTTCAGTAGCAGCAGGACTGCATTTGGGGCTGGCATTTGAGCAGGATCCCAAGCGAAGCTGACTCCTTTTACTTGTGGCTCAGGGAAGATGTGGTAAGCTTTTAAATTAGCCAGCAGATTCACACTTCTCTCTAGAACAAATTCATATTTTTTGAGTTTCACAGGGCATGGACTTGAAGACATCAGAGCATCTAGCAGTGGTATTACATCAAACCGCCGACTTACATGCAGGCAGGCAGCTCTTCGAGCAGCCTTCGGTGACCTGCGTCTTCCCAGAAGAGCGCAGTACTTGACCTGTGCAAAACTGTCATTGTTGTTTGTGTCGCGGCAGCGTGCAGCGGTCCCATCTGGGACTGAGATTTACTGGGCTGGGAACTCTGCAGGCATACGTGGAGAAACACTGTGTTTTCAAGAGCTGTTCATCTGATGGGAAGAGTACCAGAAAAATGGTTAAAGCGCTAGCATCAAGTTCTTCAGCGTAGCTTTGCTGGGTGACTTTGCATAACATATTTATTCCTTCTGTGATTTGCACAATGGAGAACTGGTAATTTTCTACTTCTCCAGGGCATTGCAGTTGTAAAATCGTGTGATGTTCAGATAGTACTAGATGTGTTTTTGTTGCCAAACCATGTTTGAGAAAAACAGATGAAGTAAGAAATGAGAAATGGATATTTATGGGAAATTCTGCAGCAACTTATTTCTCCATTTTGAATGAATAAGAAATCTGAAATATCAAAAATGTTTTTGCAGTTTTCAGAAATGGATTAAAATCATAATGGTGATGGAAGTTATTCAACTGCACCAAAATTTTCCCTTGTTAATCAGTGATTATAAATTATTTTCTTAAACTGATCTTTGAGAACATTTTTATTTGTTCATTAGAAACTTTGAGAACTTTTAAGAGTTAGTTAACTATTTTTTTTTTTAAATTCTGAATTCTTTCAATGAAGAAAACTGCAAAAGTCCATTGCACACAGCTTGTATGAGCCCCAGTTTATTTGGTTTATCCTAGCACTAGCTGTCCTTTATCCTTTTATCCACTCAGAGATGTTCTTTTACACGTGAAATCCTTCTAAATCCAGAGGCCCACCGGTAGCCCCAGCCCTGACCAGAAGGTGCTGCATGGAGGCATTGAGTTTCATCACCTCCAGGCGTCTGTCCTCTCTTGGGATGATCTCTCGGTGCTTCATGTGTGTCCCGAACCAGAGGGAGGCAATGTTTATTGGTTTATTTTTTTCCTTTTTAACTTCTCTTTCCCTTCACCTGCCTCCCCAAGTGATGACCGTGCTAATTTGTTCACAGGCCATTAACTTTTGAAAGCTGCAAGGCCCCATCCTGCCCTCTGCGAGAAGCTCCCGTTCACCAGGCTGTAATTCTCTCTCTTGCTCCCACCGTGACTCCTGTGTGGTTGATACGGTTTCTGTTTTAATTCCAGACGATGACTGCACCGACTCCTTCACGCCCAACCAAGTGGCCAGGATGCACTGCTACCTGGACCTCGTCTACCAGAGCTGGCAGCCTGCGAAGAAGCCGGCTCCTATTGCAATTGCCCCCCAGATTGTGGCTCGGACCTCCGCCTCTGTCACCCTGGAGTGGTTTCCTCCCATCGATGGACACTTCTTTGAAAGGTGATCACACGCTGCTCTGTACTCCTGCACTCCACTGAAGGGGAAGGGGAGGCAGGGGAGCAGCCTGGGGCCCCACTCCTACAGAGCAGCTTTAACATGTGCTACACTCAGCCTGGGTTAAGGCTCTTTCTTAAATTGGTTCATATTGAGGAGGTTATTGATCTGTTTTCTGCTCTGCCTTTCTCAGCCTGTAGCACTCTGTTGAGAGCCATTGATTTGCCATGTAAAAGGCAAATCTTTTTCCATATGTTATGGGAGGAATTTTCAATCAGCAATTCTGGCCTTGCGATTCCTGCAGTTACTGCTGCTCACGAGTACCTGTGGGCTTCAGCTCTGCCTGCATGTTCCCCCTTCTCCTCTCACACGTTTCCTTTCCAAGGACAAGGGGAATCTTGTTTCTACTGCCATGACAGCACAGAGCTCGTGGGCAGTGGAGTTTCCCAAGGGCAGGAGGTGCAGGACCTGGGAGAGGACAAACGCTGCTTCCTTCCCTGAGCTACAGGTCTGAGAAGGGAATTGAGCAAGGCACAATCAAATCCTTAAAGCCCTGAATATCCTACAAGAGTCATTGTGCTGCACCATGAGCAGAGCGTGTATGTCACAGCATGTGTATGTGCACATGTTCATGGCTCGCAGCTCCATTGTACCAATACAGAGGAATTAAAATGAATGCACGGCTGTGGGCAAGAGGTGCACCGCACAACAGTTCACAGCCAAAGCCACCCTGCCTCAGGCATAAGCTGAGCAACTGGGCAGTCTTCAAAACACAAGGGTGTCCAGCACAGAGCTGGATGTGCTGTAGTAACAGCCCTTCCTAAATAATCAACCATCTTGCATTGCCATTAACTCACCTTGGGTGTTTGCCTTTCCTCTCCACATCTTGCTCTGTTATTTTACAGAGAACAAACTTTGAGTGTCCTTCAGGACTGTAGCAGTGCATGCTGCAGGAGGCCAAATTTACAAGCATATTAGCACCCAAACAGCTGTCTCAGCACTGCTGCTTTGTTCGGAGAGAGCACCTTGAAAGCCACTACCTTAAGCACGGGTGAAACTCCTTCCAGCCCTGATAGGACAACGTGGCCATTTCGGTGTCCAGCCTGCACTTTATGGGAGTAGGCAGATAGCTGTCATTTTCTGCTCAGAGGAGATTTTCCACTTTTATGGCAAATGAATATGGGGGGTGGGGGAATCAAATTATATTAGGAGTTGATAAAGATGGGGCTTGTGCTCTGAACAGTATTTGTTTTAATTGCAGTTTTGCATCTGAATCCTTTTATTCCCTATGTGGTGAAAAGGACTTATGTGAAGTTCTGAAAATTAATTCAGAATTTTTTGGCCCATAATCATTTTTAGGTAAATTAAGTTTCTCCAATTTAATTTAGATTTCAGAAGATACTGACTGTGCGTTAAATAAATACCATCTGCCTCTTAAAGCACACTGATGCAGAGTTAATTGTTATGTAACCAAATATGTCTTTATTACATATTTCTTATAACTCAATCAATATGTTCTTAATAACCCCGAGTTAGTTGCTTCTTAAATGACATACAGTGGATAGCCTGCTAAATCTAAAATTTCATAACAGAGTTATATGTTAAGTAGTGATTTTCTAGAAAAAATATCCTTTGGGTTTTCAAATCCGTGTGCTGTTTTACTGAACAGATTTAAAGAGACAGTTCCAAATACTTTGCATCCAATTCCTTGTTAAAATAGGATTCTGAGTACTAACAGATAGAGAAATGTTGCTGTGACCACTGTAAAATGTCACTGAAATCTATAAATTGTCCTGTCTAAAACAAGCCCAAACTTCTGATGTATTAATCAAAACACGTGTGATGGGAGTGTTGTAGTGACTAACGCAGCCCATGTGCTGAACTCCCAGTACCCGTGTGTCCGGCAGTGCGGGGATAGATACGTGCCTGTATCAATTCGCAAAATTGGGTCACTGTGCAAGACAAGTAGGAGGTAAAATTGGCCAAGTATAATCTTATCTGTGTGTGGGAATACTGTAAATCTTCGCAGATATTTTTACACAAAGTGCACACCATGGCCCAAATTTTACTTGCCTCACTTGAATGAATAAACTCATTCACTTCAATGGGACTATTCATGTATAAAACAGAAGACTGATACTCAACTGCTGAGTGCCTTGGGCCTGGTTTCTAATGCTCGGAGGCCCCTTCCATGCTGTTTTGACAGCGTAAAAGGGCCTTAAAAGGCTGAATGGCTCTGGCTACATTAGCAAGCATTGTGGCCCAATATAAGTAGATCTCTAGCGCAAAACAGTCGTTAATGAAGACCTGACGTCAACCCAGTAGGGGCTTCAGGGGTGTTTGCCTCAGCCTAGCTCGAGCCTGGTCCTGTGGCTGGGATGCCATGGGTTGAAGCACATCAGGTGTGGTCCGGGGACACGTCTTCCACTGCGGCTCCCGGCAGAACAGGGTCCAGCTTCCGAGCTCTGGGACTGCTCCGAGCGCTGCAGGTGGGGAAGATGAAGAGTTTCACTTCAAAAGCCCTCTCCCGATCCAAACTACAAGGCTACTGGAGGTGCACTCCATGCAATTGAAGTCCCTTTTGTTCTCTGGAGCTGTGCATAGGCAGTGACCTCTGCTTAATGAAAGTCAGGAAGGAAAAACTTAGCCTTGTGTTTAAAAATGTAACCCTGGGCTGGCTGTATGAGTGGGTGAGGTCCCGACAGCTCTGTAGCTGCAGGGGGATGAAGCATGGGGGTAAAGGGCCCCATGCCTCTTCCCTACTTCGATGCAAGTGTCACACTGCCACAGTATTTGGTGCTTTTCTCTTAAGGCCTCAGTTCTAGAAGTTACGTGATGTCCCTGAATATTGTGGCTGGATGTGGCGATCTTGAAGGTCTTTTCCAACCTAGGTGTTTCTATGATTCTGTGATTATGTGGCTTTGGGGACAGAGAATACTGCTAAGTCACAGTTCTTGTGGGTCTCGGGGTGCCCATCCTGTGTCCTCATGCCTTGGCTGTGCACAGAAGTAAAATCTCCCTGGCAGACTCTCCTTACCTAGTTCATGTGTACAGCTGATGGGTGCAGTATTGCTCCAGAGAGTCATTTACCTGCATATAAATTTTCCAGCATATGTTTGACCCTAAATTCCAGCAGCTGGTTGAACTTCTACACATCTTTAGTAATAAAATACATCAAGCCCAGGCATTTATTCCTATTGTTGCTACCTATGGGATTGGAATAGTTGCCATTCCCCATACAACCACACACTAAAAAAAAAAAAAAAGCATGAAAATGTCACATGCGCATATAATAATATGTGATAATGAAATAATAATAGAGCCAACAAAACAAGTGAAAACAAGTGAGAAGAAGAAAACTCTATTCATTTCCTGACTGCATGTATTAGATGCGTTCATCTGCTGTCGCTAAGCATCCATTCATGCGCCTCCTGTTTGATATGCGTAGGCGGGATGTAAACAGTTATTGTAATAGGGCTCTGCAGCAGATTCTGCTTGGACAGAAAACTTTGAATGCATCTGCTCTTCCAAGTTTTCATTGAGGTGACTGTATTAATTTCCATGAATCTGATGCTATCTCATTCTTAGCAAGCAAATATTTTGGCCAGTATGTTTCCCAGATCTAGATGGCTGGGCTTGATAATTGCTTGCTTAAATCTTGCTGGAAAGTTTCAGTGCCTTGAGGGGGGGGAGGGCACTGATACTGAATTCCAAGCAAGCAGGTATAATTTAGTCCAAAAACAGGCATTGGTTACTGAAAGGAATGACAGATTTTTACTGGTTTGGGGTTGCCCACTAAACTGATGCCAGCCCTGATGAGAATTGCTTGTTTTTCACTAGTAATCTTTGTGTTTTGAATCCACCTCCCTGGAATATCATGCTGTAGGAATTAATTCCTCCTGTGCTCTGAACTTCAGAAGCTGGAATTTCCCCAGTACTTGGTTTATTAGAAAACAGCAAAGTCTAGATTTTCCATTACCCTGCACTTTGGGAAATCATGTGTACCGGTGTATAAGGTGTCAGATATGCTATCATTCCTAATTAACAGCGTTCTGAACCATTTTATGCTCATTTTGTCTTGCTGTCAGTGGCTACATAAGGTGTAAGGATCTGGCTTAGCTTTTCATAAGCCTGTAAATACAATTCCATAATTAGTTTTGACATCCATGGCTGTTTGCAGGATTTGTGTGCAAGAGTCTGCAGACCAAAATCTTTAACCCAGGAGTCATCCCCTGTGTAACTCCTTTCAGCCAGTGGAGTTACATCAGGGTTGAGTTTGGCTCCCAAACTGGAAAAGTAAAAAGAGAAAGTTTGCTCATAGCCTTTCCCACATGATGCTCCTTGTGATTTCTCTTACCTCCAAGTCCTTGCTGGTAAAAGGAAATGTTTGTCCATAAGCCTACAGTTTTTTCCACCATGGCAGCCTGTGATGAAATTGTATAGCTGCTAATTTGAGTAAAAAGCAGTCCTAATTGTGGAAACTTGGCTTTCAAAGCCCTGTCCTCATCCAGGACCAAGCACTAATGCAGGAGTCTCTTTGTAGAGAAACTGAAATATTATTATTGCAGGGATTTCTATCCTTACTGTTGGTGGATGTGTCTGAAAAACAACTGCACGATAATAATCCTACATTTTGATTTCTCGGTCCCATTTTTTCCAGATTCTTGATCTTCTTTTTTTTGGATATACTATTTAGGCATGCTGAATTAAACACTTAGACCACTGCTAAATGGATGGTTGAGAGGTGAAATAGGGAGGTGGTATCATACCAATAATACAGGTGGGTGAAGTGAGACAGAGAGCAGAGAAGTTACTACACGGCATGCCCAGGTTTGTTCATTATGACTGGTACAGATCATACAAGGAAGATCTTTGCCTCCCTTTCCTCTGTTCTACCCCATTGCCACACTTCATCCTGTCAGATGTTTTCAGCAGGTGCATCGCTCTCTGCGACGTCTGCTGGTTCAATCATTTACTGTCTCTTTGCAGGGGTGGCGGTGAGCCATACTGAAATGGATACGAGTTTTACCACTGATTTCAGTCCAAGTCCCCCCTGTCGACAATCCCTGCTTCCGCCTAATTAAGCCAACTGAACGTTGTACTTTCAAATAGATCTCTGTCAACAAATAGGAGATGCTAAGCCATAGAGCAGCTGAGCATTTGTCGTCCCTAGCACCAAAGGGAAACAAGGATGCACAGCCTGGGAGGGCTGGGGGGGTAACTTTGCTGTCCTCTTCTGCCTGAGGATCAGAGTGCCCTTTGCAAAGCTGTGCTGAAATAAATCACAATGGGAGATGATTGAAATTTGTGTGTCTGATTATAATAATTGCTGACTCCATCCTTACTTGGGGTGTTTAGAGAGTGCACTATGTTGTGCACAAATTGTTTGCCTAAAACTTCTGTTCTTTCCTAGATGCATTTGTTCTCTTAAGATCACTAATTCTTTTGTTTGTTTTGGGTGGGCATCATTTGTTAAAGCAGAACAGTGAATTAAGAATAATAAACAAGTTTCTGGGATCAAAACACACGTTCAGGGTCATACTGGTGCCAAACTGTGAGACTCCAAAGAACGTTAGGGATGAACTGTGTGAGCCACGTCCTCAGCTGATATAAATCACTTTAATGTTAGGGAAGGTATTAGAGTTACACTAGTCTACATCAGCTTAAACCCTCACCTTCTGAATGTATTAGCAAAAATATTTGTGAATCAGTGTTTAACTGAGCTTTCCTGTTCATCAGCTTCTGCTGATTGGGCTTTTCTGACAGCATCTGGTATCAGACCTGTTGTCTAGTTGAAGTAATGCTGCTGTTGGGCAGTGAAGTGCCTTTCCCAATGCCACGTCATGCCATCTGATGGCATGGGGCCATAAGATGTTTCAGCTCAAAAAGAGCCATCTGCTGGTACCAAGGCTGCCAGGTACTGAATCCAGTTTCCCCTGTGGAAAGGATTAAGGGAATGTTCTTGTCTGTATGATCATAACCCACCCCTTTCCAGACTTCCAGTGATCGGGGTGGTGAGACACCTCCAAAGGCAGGTCCTTGCACATTTAGCAAAGTCGTGCTTCACAGAGCAGCTCTGTCTGGTGATTGCAGAGTCTGGGACTTTACTGTGTCCTCTAATCACTGGTAAGCCCAAGGCCCTCACAGTCCTGAAGATGCCACAGGTTCATGCAATAAATCCATGGTGTGAGCAGGAATAGATCTGAAAACTCCTGAGACCTGTTTCTCTGCTCTGTTCGCTAAACAACACATATTTCCTTTGTCAGGGCTTGATCCAGGTGTAGGTAGGGAAAAAAGAAAAAGACACAGCGGAGTGTGGTTTCACAGGATGCCGTCATTGTATTTGTATTTGTTGGTGGACTCACACAGATGCTGTTTTCACAAGCTGTTAGCCCAAATCTATAGAAGATCAGGGTCAGTGCTGTAAGTAAAGAGGGTTAAGTGGAACTGAATTCTAAGTCTTACTGTTTTTACTATAGTTGAATAAGCAGCTCAGTCGGCTGTTACTAAGGTGGTGTGTTTTCCTGTTTTCCTGGCCTCCTAGAGAAGTGGGATCAGCATGTGATCTGTGTGTGGAAGGAAGAGTCCTGGTGCAGTACGCCTTCAGCGCCTCCTCCCCGATGCCCTGTGATCCCTCGGGGCACTGGAGCCCGCGGGAAGCAGAAGGTAAGTCACGGGCAGGGACGAAGTCGTGGCAGGGGAGAGGTTGGGCCAGAGAAAAAAGAGCGCCACAGAGCAGGTGGAAACCTCTGGGAGAGGGTGGCTGGCTGTACCTGCGTGTAGCAAGAACAGAACTAGAGGACAAATAAATACACTGCGTCCCTGAAGTAATGCCCCTGGCTGAAATACCTGTGTTTGGCCCCCGTGTTCTGGCCCTGCCCATGAGTTAAATGAATTCCGGGAGCTGAACCTGAATTTCAGAAAGCAGCGGAGTGCCAAGAAACACTGACCATTCACATCTGCCAGATGAATTCCTCAGGGGAGCTGTTTACTCCTTCTACTCCAATTCCAAAAGTGAAGAATTGCATGTTATTTATTTGGACCCTGATTTCTGCTGCCTTTGCTTGTACTGCGATGTAACAAGCTGCACCAGCAGACGTGCTGGAAGGAGCAGAGACTGCCCTTTGGGCAAGGACACCTGCAGGAATGCCGGTGACTGCATCAAGCTCAGTCTAGTTCAGGGTGCTGTGTAAGTCACAGCTTACAGCTCCTCTCCAGAGCAACTTGGAAGGAAAATGGATCTGCAGAGACCGTCGTACAATGCCATTAGATCTCCATCATTAACTCTGCTCTCTACATACCTTCCATAATGTACGGAGTTGGGTGTAGTAGAGCTTATTTAAGATTATATGAATCAGAGGTCAGTAACCACAAGTTATGGTTTGGGAAGAGCAGAGCATTATTTCAGTCTGTCCATCATGAGCTATTCCTTTAGATGCAGCACACGCCAGGCCCAAACTTCACTGAAAACACACAGACGGGCTCATTGAACTCAAACAGTCAATGCCTGGACTTTGCAAATTCATTATACACATTTCTTCTTGTATTAAGGGCTTCTCTGTCCTGCAGCTAGAGTGCACAGGAGTTAATCTATAAAGAAGATAATCTGTAAACTAGTATGGTGGCATATTTAATGTTGGCACGCGGGATCCCTCCCTGGTCCTCACAGCAGCATGTGCAACAGGTTGTGTCCCTGCTGTGTGAAGGGAAAGGATGTGTGGACAAAGTGCTGCCTCCCCTGCATGCCCAGATCTGAGGTCAGGGGCTCCTCAGGGGCCGTGGTTCACCCCAGCTCACCCCGGTTTGGACATCCAAGGGCCAGGCTGCCGGGCACAGCACAGAGTGCACCTGTCCCTTGAGTGGATGTTGTGGAAGAGCTCCATCCTGGGAAGCAGCGCTCCAGCTCCGAGTGTGACCGGATTACCAAGTAAACAGGATTAGCGAAGTTTGGATCGCTTGCAGTTGTAGTGCAGGGTAGAAAGACTGAATTTCCACCTCGCCAACGATTACAAGGCTTTGAAACCTGATTTTGTTTGGAACAAAACCTGAAACTTTTGAAATTCTTTGTGAAGGAAAATTAAAAACAAAAAGTGTTTGAGGCTGGCCAGAATGTTTTGTTTAGCTTATATAATTCCTCCTTCGTGAACTTCAGTTCAATTATGACATTTGAAAAAATCTCCTCTTAGTATATAATCTAGGGCAAAAGCAACTTTTAATACCAAAATGAAAAGTGTTTAAAAGTGCAAAAGCAAAATGATTTCTTCCAAAAATGTCAAAACACAATGTTCTAATATTGTTAGAACTTTCTTCCCATTTTCTCTTCCAGAATAAAATTTTGGCCAAATAAACCGAATTTTGCAAAGTGTTTTGATTTTGAAAGAACTGCGTATTCCATTGAGATACTCAGTTCCGTCAAAATTTCTCCAGCGAGCTCTGATTTGAAAACTTCTAGATCTCGCACGTCTTGCCAGCGGCGTCATTCCTAGAGAAACTAAGCTACTCTAAGATTTATTACTCAGCTGCATTTTGCATTTAATTTCCTCTTCTTACAGTGTGTTCCTGCATATTCTTAACTATGAAGAGTGAAGTCTGATCCTTATCTGTCTCATTCAATTGCTGTAGTGCCATTGCTCTGGAAAGAAAATTTGGGAATCCTGTCCTCTTACTGCATTAACAAGTTGTCTCCACTTTAGGGTAGAAAATACACAAAGTGTATGGTATTTGTTGCTCTGTAATTTTCTGTCATCACTACCACACTCCCTGACATTCAAGATCTCTGCCTGTTTGCACTTGGTCTGAGTTACAAATAGCACAGTTAAGTCATTGTCTGGCTTCTTTAATTGTCTATCTGTGAGTGCTCAAGCATGCAAGCTTTAAATTCACTTTCTACAAGTGTTCATGTATGTAAATCTCCACTGCTTGAACGTTCATGGAAAGTGAATACAAAAGAGGCATAAGCATGGCCAAAATGAACTCATTTGAAAACCTGAGACAACACTCATGGAAAATGGTTTGTAGTACTCATCCAGCCTCTTACCAGAAAACCACATTTCTCACGTGTCCCTGCAGCGTCTCTGAACCTGGTCACTCTCATTTCATGTCCCTGAGGTCTCACAGCATTGTTACTCTGCACAGCTACCCAGCTCTGTACAGCCCGTGGGCTGTGCCCACTACAAAACTCTTCCCCCAGGGACGTGTGCTTCCTAGTGCCCTGCTGGTGCCAGAGTGTGGTGGGGTGCAGCCCCCTGGGCTGAGATATTTTGTGCTTCTTTCCCAGCCAGTTGTGCCACTTGCTTAAGAGGCTGCGTACTCCTCAGCAGCAACTGTGGGAAAGCACAGGAGATCAGGCAGTTCTGATTTACTCTTTACCTTTTCTTCAGAGCAAGAAAGCTCTAAGCTGTTTGGATTCTCAGCAGCATCACCAGCTAGACAGACAGACCGACCTTAGAGCACCTCCACAAATCAGGCAAAGGGTTTGTGATTTTGACTCAAACCCAAGCAAATACCCTTGCTTACTGTGCAGTATCTGCATTTCTCAGTGAATTCCCGCTGCCTGCCTTGCTATTGATTAAAAATAGGATGAGTCTGGAGGTCCCTTTGTCTTGATCAAATAGGGAATGAGGCAGGCGAGTTGTAGTTGTGACAGCAACAGGCAGCCAAGAGGCTGCAGATCCCAGCTGACCTCCCCACGCAAGCATCTCACGTCTCTGTCCCCGTGGCAGGGGCAACACAGGGGCATGGGTGAAGGCTTGTGCTGACACACCAGGCTGTGGATGTGGCTGATGTTTCGGGTGAAACCTCCTTCCCCACCTGCCATCCCTGCTGTCTGACTGGAGATGGGATTTGGCTTATTCTCATAAACCTCACATTTGCATTTTGCTTGTGTTTGGCAAGATGTGAGACTGTGTGAAATGCTCTTTTATGACTGATCCTGCTGACAATCTCATAAGCTAAAGGGTTTTCAGAACTTAAGTATACAGGGACAAGAACCACTCCATCATTTCCTTTTAAATAAAAATATTTATGATTTTCATAGTATGCAGCCATGTAGGGAAATCTAGTTACATGGAATAACGTTTTGAGCTTGTCCTGCAATTAAACAAGCATTTCTTACTCAGCTCGAGGTGTCTAATATATAAGAAGAGGACTTTATCTCAACCACAGTATTTCATTTAGGCTTTCAGTCTGTGCAAGAATATGGTCAAGCTCCCGCTCTTGCCAGGTAGAGCAGTTCTCGCTCAGCAGGCATGAGTGCTCGCTCAGTTCCCTGCACCAGTGGTTGAGTTCAGCTCACCTGAACTCAGAGGATCACTCCCTGGTCTACTAAAGCATGGAGGTTTATTCACTGTTTAATCCTTGCAGAGATTTTGGACTGGCAGAGGTGAATTTGCAGGAGCCCAATGGGGGGCCGCATCTAAAAACCTGCCAGGCCGTGAGCTATTAATCAACTCCATTTTCCTATCGGCGAGGTGCCAACAATAGCACTCACAATTTTTTCCAAAGTGCTACGAGATGGTGGGGTTAAAACCCAACTTCTGGGGGCTGCAGTCAGCAGCTCTCTGTGAATCTGTGTGAAAGTCATCGGCGGGCCCAGCCAAGCACACGTGGATGGCAGCAAGCGTTGGGAGATGACGTGAGCTGAGTGGGGTTGTCGCTGCTCTGAGTGATTACGCACTGAGTACTCGCGAGCTTGCCAGGGGGAATAAAATCGAGGGTGTTAAATGGAGTTCTGGCATCCTGCAGAGCGTATCGCTGCTTCGGACTGTCCAGATGCTCGGCTGAGCGGCATCGCCACAGCTCTGTGGTGTGTGAGGAGGAGAGGAGGGCTGTGGGTACGTGCGGGTGAGGGAGAAGCGATAAAAGCTGTGCATCCGTGGGACAGTTGTGTTGGTTCTCTGAGGAGATGGCTGAGACACAAGGAAATCGTTCTGCACCTGGGTTCATTTCGTATGGACAGGAGAATTCCCTGGGCTGTGTATCCTTGACAGAAAAGGCACATTTCTATCACTTCACTGGATCACAGACAATAAGAATAACCTTCACACATTGCCCTTTTCTCTTTAAATTAGTAGTGATGTCCTGTTTGGTCGTGTTTGCCCAGTGCTTTATCTTGCTTTCTTCCTCAGTTGCCAACAGCTGTGCTCTCTCTCTTGCTCTCTTTCTCTGCCTTCTGCATTTCTCTCCTCTTTTTACCTTTCTTTATCTTTTTTTTTTTTTTTTCCCTTTCTTCTTTCCCATACTTTGTCTTCTCTCTGTCCTGCTTGCTCCCTTTTTGTGTGATTATTTGGGAAGGAAGAGGGAATTTATAGCTCTCACTGGATTCTGTTACCAACTGTTCCACCCATCTGACCTCTCTGGATCTTGCAGTCCATGACTCTGTGCCAAATTGTAATGTTACCATAGTATTTGGGATCCTAGCAAGCATTGTGGCTTTCATTAGTTTTTAGTAATACCTCCCGTGTAGTTGAACATAGCCAACGGTGAGAAATGTAAAAGTACAAGTGCTTGTTGTTTCATCATGACGAGTGCAAAGAGCCAGCTCAAACCTGTGCCTCCAAAAAAAAAAGGGGTCTTACACAATGTGCAGGATTAGCCTGTAAAGGGCATAGGAGTGAACTGAATATTTTGCCTCTCAACCACACAATGCGACAACTTCTTGGAATCAGTAAAATCTCTTTTCTTTGTCTTTGCTAAAGACAAGAAAAAGGTGAAACTTTAGAGTAACAGACAAGGGGGGTATGTAGGAGCACTGAGGTGAAATAAAGGTAAGGTACCAAGTGGACCAGACACACTGGCACAGTTTGTGTCGTTTGGAGTCGGTTCTGCTGGGCACTCCAAATGGCTTTGTGTCTCTCTGTCCCAGCCACAAGATGCTGGCATGAAGTTCCTCCTCCACATGCTGGCCGTGCCTGTTCTGCTCAAGTAAATAATGAGCTCCCTGGACAGATGTGCTCTCACACCACCAGTTTCTTTCAAGACTAATCTAATGCCAATGATAAGCCGTGTTCCCTCAGTCCTGTTATGCACATTCTGTGTTTCCTTCTTTCTTTCCAGGGCACCCTGACGTTGAAGCAGCCTTGTAAATCCAGTGTCCGAACGTGGAGTCCCAACTCGGCAGTCAACCAACACACGGTGCCCCCCGCCTGTCCCGAGCCGCAGGGCTGCTACCTGCAGCTGGAATTTCGTTATCCCCTGACTCCAGAGTCCCTCACAGTCTGGGTGACCTTTGTTTCCCCGGACTGGGACTCCAGCGGAGCGGTGAATGACATCAAGTTGCTCACTGTCAGCGGGAAGAACATTTCTCTTGGGCCGCAGAACGTCTTCTGCGACATCCCATTGACCATAAAGCTGGATGTGAGGCAAGTGGGCGAGGAGGTGTACGGGATCCAGATCTACACGCTGGATGAGCATCTGGAAATCGATGCTGCCATGCTGAGCTCCGTTCCCCACAGCACGCTGTGCACGGACTGCAAACCCATCCAGTACAAAGTCGTTCGGGATCCTCCTTTCCAGTCCGGATCTCCAGTTGTCATCTCAAACCTCAGCAGAAGATTTGTCGACACGTAAGTACTGCTTTCAGAGACTTGTTCAGAGAAAGATAATAGCTTCTTCTCCTCAGCCTGTTGATGTCTGGTATTGCTATTGAATATTAAGATTTTAAACTAGGTAGACATATCAAATATCACCAAGAGAGGATATTGTCATAGTTTCTTTCTGTAAGGTAGGAACATTACATTCTGGTGAAATAGTCTGGTTTTTCTTAGGTAGTTTTAAAGGAATTTCTTGGCTGGTTGTGCAGAAATGTAAAATTTGGTTTTTCCTTAACCAGAAAGGATATCACAAACTACCTGAGCTTTGATAAGTTGATTATTTAAGGTAACCTCAGGAGTAACATGGACATAATTTCCTTAGAAATCTTCTCAAGGTAATATTTCAGTGGAGACAGAGACAGAATTGTTGTGCTGGAGCATTGAGACTTCTAATTCGCTCCTTACAAGAGAATACAAAAAATACAATTGCATGTTCAGGTATATAAACGTATTTCAGCTGCTTTCATTTTCTGCTTTCATGTGTCACTAACACAGACTGTGTTGCACAGTAAACATGTCAAATATGCTAGTTTGTTGTAGGGACTGAATTTCATCCCAGATGCAGTTATGCTCAACTAGTCAAGGAATGTATGATTGTTGAGGAAAGCCTGTTTTCAAAATATTTAATGATTTTGCAGAGATCCATGATCTACCCATAGGCATTCTACAGAAGTAAGAAAAACATCTTCTGCATAACATGATTCCCTGGAAGTGATTCACTCATCTGTGGGAACAACATGAAACTCTTCTGAAAATGAACACCAGATAAAAGGAAACCTGCTAAGAAAACTGCACTCTAATTTAGAAAAGATGATCTAATTAGTACAGCTAATATCAAGGAAGCATACATCATTATGGTCTTCTGAAGCATATTTAAATATAATAAAAATGATTAATTAACAATTCAGTAATCATGAGCTGCCATCCCTTTCATGGTGCAATTACACAGCTCAGAAGATGCAAATTGTCCCTATGGGTTTCAAAATTCAAGGTAGCTCACAATAGTGAATATAAAAGCAAAACCCCTAACCTTGCTGAGGTTACTCATGTGCTGAAAGTTAAGCATGTGCTTAAGAGCTTTCTTGGGTTGTAGCCTTGTTCCAACAATTGCTGGCACTTAAAATGAGATGAATAGTGGCATATTGGAAACGTGGAAAATGGTAAATTTTCCCAGGGTTTTGCTGTGAAAGCATCTTTGCCTGAAACCTGGCCCACTCACATTGGAAAATGGGACTGGTTTGGTTTGAAATATTTGCATACCTTAGCACAAGTTCCCACAGAAACAGGTCCAGTTTTGAGTTCATAATAAAACATGAAAAAAAAAAGCCCAAAACACAACTTGTATTCTGAGCTCTATTCCCATGTCTTTTATTATGATTTTGTGGGTGACTTCTAGTTTTTAGCCATCTGAAGGGAAAAGGTGCTCTAACGATTAAATCAGTAGCCAGGGATAAATGGCAGTTTTCCTGCGTGGCATTGAATAAATCATGTAGGGTAACGTTACTGTACCTGTCTGCATGTCGCACCTAGTTATATAGCCAGCTAAAAATCAGACATAAAATTTAAGTTTGTCTTTCTGGGCTCTACCTGTGATCAGCAGACAGAAACAGCTGCTCCCGGAGGCTGGCAGAGCCAACCTAACCAAACACTCTAGTCTAGCTGGCTCAGGGTGCCTGCGTCTTTCCAGGGACTGCAGGGAAAATCCAGACAGTGAGCTCCGACTAGACACTTGGAAAGCTAAAATGAAGTCTTTAGTCACTGGGTAAGGAGTCAAAGATGCAGATTCTTTAAACACTTGTAGCTGTTTTTTATGCAGGACTTTGGCGTGTGTTTGAAATCTTGAAAAGCGGAGTGATGTTTTTTTTATCCTAATACCCATATGTGCACAGCGCTGGTTCATCTCCTCCGCTGCTGGAGGTTCCTGCAGCTCTGTAGCCTGGTGCTGTGAGTCCAGGCTGCTGCTCGGCCGTTCCTCGAGAGCTGCAGAGTCGTGAACCTCTGCACGGGGTGGTGGATCTGTGGAAGAGGCAAAAGCAAGATGAGTTTAGCAAGATGAGTTTTCCATGAGCATCTTGTGCATAGGTTTGCTGCCGTCCACACGCTCTGTAAGCAGGGAGGAGGGGAAGGTGCTTCAGGAAGGGCAGGGACAGGGGCGCTGGGCTGTGCTCCTGCACATATATGTAGGGCTAAGTACAGTGTGTCTCAGCCTTTTCTCATCTGCCTGTTTGTCTCATTCTGTACAGCTGGAATTTGGCATATCTGTGCAACCAGACGTTGCAACCCCTTTATCTCTGCAAGCCCCAAGCCAGTTACCCCTCCTTTTTATGTCTTTGCGTGTTTTCCATATGAAATAAAATGACACCCCCACATGTTCTATGGAAGGTTATTTTGAAGGCAGTCAGTATCTTTACTCTTGCCTCCTCTGACCTTGATCTTCACTTTCTCTTTTTCTCCCAAAGAAAATATTTGCTTGCACTGTTATCTGTGAGCAAGATCCTTTCCCCAGGTGTGGCGATGTTGAAAGAAAAATTAATTTCTCCTACCTTTTTCCCGTCAAAGAGAGGGAACTTCTCTTTAAGGTGAGGAGAGAGACAGCCTTTAATGGATAGCCCTTGCCTAGTCAGCAGTGGGTGCTCCGCAGAGGAGAGGAAATAACTACGACAGTGGAAACCTTTTATTAAGAAATGCAAAATAATGCCAGACCTTCTGTTCTCAAGCTGAATTTTAATCTCAGCTCTTGGCTCGAGCAGAGGCTAACAAACATTTCTAAGGAACAGGGCCTTATCCTTGGACCTAGAGAAAGCAGGCAAGGTACACATGCTTCCACCGAGAGCCGAGGGCCAGGATTGCTGGTATTTGTGATACAAAATGAGACGCAGTGCCCAGGAAGAGAGCAGAAAGAGAAATAAATCAATGGGGGAAAAAAGAGGTCAGGGCAGGTGCAGTGCAGAACTGCTGAGTCTTCACACTGCCTCGTGTGATAAGGAAGGAGCCTCTTCTGCAGGTCTCCAAGTCTCAGCTCATGATTTAATCCAAAGCTCAGGTTGTGCTCTTACATAGAGGGTCTCACTGAGGTGGTTCTCTCAGAATAACATGCAAGATGGAACAGTGAATGTGGTAATCGCCTTGCCCTCCCTCTGGCCTTACAGGAGGGCTTCTGCTGTCACCGAGGTGCTCTCACATTCATTTGGAGCCACCATGGACTTTTAACAGCTCGGTGAGAAGATAGCTCCCGTGATGGGAGGCTCTCCAGGGATGTCGCGGGCACAGCGAGGCATCAGCCCCTGGGGATCACCATGTCTGGCAGCAGGGAGCACAGCCCATCACCCTCTGGTAGCCAGGTTGCCAGCAGTGATCTGCGCTCTCCCCTTGGGCAGGCCAGGATGAGGGAGGCCCAGGGCAGTTCTGGGAAGTTGTCAGAATTACAGTGTCAGAGAATTGGAAATTTCTCCAACTTTTCTGCCCCAGACTTCATAGGAAACCTCAAACTGTGAGGACACATGGTGGATCGTGTCATCTCTGTAACCTTCTCTGTTCACCCGTAGGGTTTTTCATTGACTGAGGTAGCCTTAGAGTGCTGTCACAAAGCCCTGGTGCTGGTTTTGGTTATGCAGAGTTGAGCATCACTGAGAAGCAAATATGCTCTCCTGTTACGAGTTATTCCTACACTGATCAGTGCTTTATTTACCTAATGACACCTAGTGATGCTGCATTCATGCTTCAAAGTAAAGGACAAAGACTGAGAGAGAAATCTGTATTTTCTCAGATAGTGTGTGAGAAAATGTATTTCTTCTCAGATTTAGCTTTTTGTCCACCTACTTCCTTTTCAGTTCCTTGATAATAGAGGGGACTGGTCACCAACTGTGTGCCGCTACTGTTTAAGCAACTAAAGTATTTTTAAATATTTTGTTAGAGTCAGGAGTTCACTTCAGTGCTCAGCTTGCGAACTCAATGCCACTTTCTGTATTTTAACTCAGCACCTAAGACGGTGGGATACAGATCTCACTAGGGCTTCTTGAAGTGATTGCAGAATGACTTGGAAATTACCGTCATCAAGATTGCAGGAATTTGGAGAGCTTGCTGTGGTATTGTTCGTGAGTCCCTAGCACTTCACACGCTTTATCTGAAACCATTGTTTGTTTCAGAATTTGCGTTATTGATGGCATTTGTGCTTGTTTGGTATCCAATCAGAAGAGGCCGTATGATATGTGATTTGTCAGAAACCCTAGGTGATGCGTTGTTGGAGATGGAAAACACTCCTTAGTCTGAATGTGTGTAAAATGTTTGCTAAATTCCTTAAAATATGAACAGGCAGAGAGGCTGGAGAATCAGCAGTGGCTATTTGTGGTGAGGGAAAATTCGCTGTGCCCAGTTATTGGTGGTGTGCCTTTTAGCCCCCCAACTCAATAGGAAGGCTACGTTCACATGAGACAGGCCCAGCTGAACAGAGGTCTAAAAAAATATGAATATCACAAAGATGATATGTAAAGCTAAGGCCCTGCTGAATGCAACACTAAAATTTCATGGCAACATCTGTCCTTATTATGGCATTCCTTCCTTCACATTCATCTTGAAGATCTATTTCTCTATTTTCTGAAGCTCTACCAGCCAGAGGAATGTATGATCTAAAGCAGCTGAAATGAATTGCCAGATCCATCTGTCATGAAGATAATTAACACCATATTTCCACCCAAACAAGATACAGATCACTGGGTGGATGTTCTCCTGATACCAAAAGCTGAAGCCCATATTATCATCATCTTCTGCTCACCCCTCCTCCACAGTTACCATGCCAAATCTCTCTTGATATGCCAGGAAATATTGGGGAGTATCTAAGATAGGACTGAAATGTTAAGAAAGCACTTTACACACCCAGATTTATCTACAAAAGCTGCTCGGTTGTCTGTGCGATACCGGCATGCTACACATCTGGATTCCCAACAGGCTTTAGAACTGTATATGGTATTCCAGAT